GTCAAATACCGTGAAACCGGTGTAACTGTTGAAAATACCGTGATATAAAATTTGGGTCATACCGCCCAGCACTACCACAAACATTTATTTTGGCTGTAAGCTACTGAAACCACATTGAATACTAGTTGTTTAACCAATATTGCAGAATGTATGAGCGGCTTAATTTATAACTTTATGTGTCATAATGTACCAAAAAGAGCACAAATATAGTATATGCAACATCAGCAGCCTCAACCACCTTCCAAACACAAAAAAATAAAAATTACTGTGATTTTCAGTGAGCTTGGAAATAACACAAATCTTATAAAATAAAATAAAWTTTCACAAACAAAAAAAAAACAAAATTCTCTTGTCAAACTTTTTATTAACTGTCAATGATTTTTGACAATATATGAAGTAAATTGCCACAGAGAACGTGTTCATAATTGTCAAAGCTAATCGATCTTAGTGAACAATAAACAACTCTAGATCTGTCAGTTTTACAACCATTTTAGTTAAGTTTGGTGCGGTAGTAGCTGAAAACCCTCTCTAACATGAACTCTGAGTGCTAAGAGTTCAAGTGAGAGCTCTGGTTAACATGCAAGGCAGAGGGGGATATGCATTTCTTCAAGAAATAMTGGTTTCATCCCACAATAAATGACAGAATTTGTACCATATTTACTGTTTAATTGAAACAAACCGGTGACTTCTTACACGGTTTGTTTGATCTGTCAGTAAGATGAGGAAAAACTGCACAATAAAAATTATTTACAAAGTGTTTGTGTCTAACTGATTCATCTCAGTGTCAGGAGTCCATAAGTGAGGTGGAGGACATCAAGCCCAACTCGGTTCACATGGCCCTCCAGGTGCCACAGTACTTCTTCATCACTGCTGGGGAAGTGATGTTTTCTGTGACTGGTCTGGAGTTTTCTTACTCACAGGTACGATTTACAATGAATATTTCTACATTTTAAATCAGTGCAGCCATTAAAGAGCTTCAAGATTTCAAGAATACTTTGGTCTACTATAATGGTATTCAGCTTTATTGCTCTTTCATGGAGGTGAATTTCATAAATTAAAGTGCTTTACAAATTGTTTGGCATTAAACACTGGTTATATGACAGTTACTTGCATCTGAAACTCTCATCATTGCATTGGAAAAATCCTCAAATTAAACAGTTTGGTGTTTTAGGTCATTTTGTTCAGTCCAACCTCAAAAACTTGAACTTAAAGGATCATTCATGCTTTTATTTCTTCTTGCTGTAACAGTTTATTAATGTGTGGAGCTGGACTGTCTTCAGGTCATCCAGAACACGGCTGCAAGAGCAACAAACCATCTCACGTCACACCTGTTTTAGCTTATTTTCACTGGCTCTAGTTTAAACTTTCTCATCTTTCTGATTTAATACAACTCCGTTCACCATATCACAGGTTGAAGTCATCAGATCTTGATTTTATTGATGCTTTTAAAAAAAACTGAAGACTTCCATTTACAAGCAAGCTTTAAGATGTTAGAGATTTTGATTTGAGTATTCCCATTTTCTTGTACTGTTATGCATGTGATGTTAAAGTTAGTCCTGCTTTTATTGTGAAGCACCTTGTATCTATGAACGTTGCTATGTAATTAAACTTTACTCACTTCTGACATTTTAAAAGTGGAGTAAAAAAATGTTGGGCATTCACATTTCTTTGTTTTGGAATTGATACGATTGAGGCAGGAATAAAAGTTTAAAAATCTACAGAACGCTGCAACCAAACTGTAATAGTGAGATGACATGCAACGACAAAGGACACAAGAACGTTGATCTTCACATTTACTCAACCTCAGTTAAACTGATAAAAGGCCTACTTTTCACTAATGTTTGTCATTTTTTGCTTTGAAATGATACAAAACCAATTTATTCTCTGCTGTCATTAGCAGCATATTTATGTATGAAATGATACTGTGGCACAATCTGGTTGTTCTTTAATATTTAAACTATTTTTAATTCTTATCTTTTGTCAAAAAGGCTCCCAGTAACATGAAGGCAGTGCTGCAAGCAGGCTGGCTGCTGACCGTTGCTATTGGAAATTTCATTGTCCTGATTGTGGCGGAGCTTGCAAAGATTCCCAAAAAGGTGAGCAAAAATGCAATCTGACATTGATGGCAGTGGGGGGAGAAAAAAACACGCTGTGATATTACTATGATGCTCCGCACCTCTGATTCTGTCCTGTTCGTCCACAGTGGGCAGAGTACATCCTGTTCGCCTCTCTCCTGGTGGCCGTCTGCATCATCTTCTCCATCATGGCTTATTTCTACACCTACATCGATCCTGCAGAGATCGAGGCCCAGTTCAAGAGGAAAGAAGGTGACAATGATGATGACGAGGATACAAAAGCCAAGCTGCGGAAGGTGGAGGCGGAGATGGCGAGGAGGGGCTCAGTTAGTAGTGATGATGAAGATCAGAGGTCCAAACAAACCAGCTTCTGAACAAAGGCCATTAGGAACATACTAATATGACTTCAACACAAATGAGAGAATGTGTAAAGATTGTGTATGTGTGTGTGTGCATTTTAAATGTTTTATACTGTAATAGCAAAATGACATCATAAGCTAAGTTATAAAAATRAGTTCAAATATCAAACTGCAATGTTAGATTAAATTTCTAACATCCATCCACTAATTCATGTATTCTGTCATCATATAATTTCTTTGTTTTATTTATGTC